AATTATCAGTTACAAATAAATTATCCAGAGAAGAGAAGCCTTTCCTCCATTCGTGTTCATAAATTGTTGGCAAACAAAGCCTGACTTCTCAAAGTGACACTTTTCTCCATTCTCCAAGTAGTTTTTCAGAATGCTTAGCAATTGGTGAATTTTTTATCTACTCATTTCTGGAGTAATGCTGTCAAATTCATCTGACTTAGAAAATTAAGGAAGTTAAACACAATTGTCTGCTGCCCAAATACTTGCCCTCCTAAGGTGTTTCTATAGTCTTGTCACTGTGGCATCTGGGTTTTTCGTGCATTTTCTATCACAACTTGTATGTGAAGCAAAAAATTGTAAACAAACTTCCTACTCATATCAAATGCTGTTTTCAAAAGTTTTCTGATCTTTCTGTGGGAAACAAGCAGGCCGGTTGCTAAATAACTTCTATGTTTTTTTTCCTGAGCATGCATTACAGAATTAGGCAGTGGGAAGCAAAGAGCTGCTGCACCAGTGATTCTACTGGAATCAAACCAACTTCTACCTCCCCAGCTTTTCCAGCTAAAAGCTGCCTCACCAGCAGTGTCCATGGAGAGCAGTAATTTCTCTCCCACCTGTAATCTCTCCTCTTTACCAGCCTTTTGAAGAAGAGGTGACTGTACAGCACCTAGCACAATCAGGTCCCTCTGTTGGCTTGAATTTCTCTACACTATAGGAATACTGATCCCCCCCCCAACAATAGAGGCAGGCACTGCACAGAGAACACACACAAACAGACTTTCATTAGACAATGCAGTCCTGAAAGCCTGTTTTACAAAAGACTTTGCTGATTGGACTCAGTCATTTGAACAGCTATGCATACAGGGTATATTACACAAGAGCCTAGAAAGAAAGGTGCAGCAGTATCAGCAATGAGATGCAGACACTGAACAATTTCATAATATTAACAGGCTTAAGCACACAACTGGCCACAACCTGAATCTTTAACATCTACTGTGTATATTTTTTTTTAATGATGGCCAGCAATGCTGAAAATTGCGTATTTTAAAACAGCAGACTCCTATTTGGGTTGACATCCTCCCTATTCTCTCCAGCTTAGTGGTTTGCCAACATTTCTACTGTTAATTACTGAAATTTTAGGTGCATTCTGAGCCTTTCAATTCCCAGACTTTCACATAAATATGTCAGACAATGAGGGTGTCAGGAGAGCCCTGGGGTATAAAGCCAAATTTTCCAATTCATATGCACAGTGGTGGCAAACAAACATACAAGCAGAGACATTCAATTTGCATCAATGCTTGTAGGATTTGTTTTGAGATTTCTGTGCTAAAAATGAGAGGTTATTATAATCTGTAGGTTTCTTTTGTATAAATGCTCACAGGTTTACCAGTGAAGACAAGATTTTCATAATCAATAGACTCTGTTTTTGTTTATCACTTACTGTCACAGGCAAACACCTCTGTTGATTAAGGTCAATGAAATCACATATATTGCCAAGGTGTGAATAACATGATTAAAAACCTGAAGGGTTAATTCAAGGCTTTTCAGAAGCCCTGTGTGAAAGGCAAGTGGTATTGCTCCAGGAACATAAAAAAAAACCAGTTTGCAGCCACAAAATATATCTCATTATGAGTTGAAGATGTAGCAAGGCTGTTCTCAGAACCACGCTCCCCATTCACAGCCAGAAGTCACTCTGCCTTTATCTGAGGCCACCTTTGCAAGGTCTCAGCCTCTCTGAGGGGACAGATACATCTGTGACTCATTTTCCCAGAAGCTCTGTCCCTGGGGCAGGTGGAGAAGCTTGGGCTGATGAAGCCAAGACCTCCTGCTTGTAAAAGAGAGGCAGCACCAAACTCTGCTCCCCAGAGCAGGGCAGTGCCTGGGTTACTGCTGGAGGACAGCTGGCAATGCAGAGGGAGTGCATGCAGCTCAAGGAGGCTTTGCTTCACTCTCTTCTTCCCCCTCTTCCTCCCTCTGCAGCTGGGGCACAGCCTGAGGACCAGCCTTGCTTCTTGGTTTCCTTTTGGGCCAATTCTTATGGGCTGCATACATCACACTGCTTCCCTATCCCCTAGGAAGAGGACCTTATCTGTGATGGGTGATGAGGAAGAAAATCCTCCACAAACTGTTCTCCTTAACCACTAACTCCTTTGACAGCTGGCATGTGGAGTATAAGAGACCCCAGATAAACATTCCCAGCCTGCTGGGTACAGATGAAATCCTGTAAATTGCAGAGCACCTTTTCCAAAGGGGTGACCACCTCTGACCCATAAAGATGGTGTTGCACACATCACTGCCTCCCCAGGTTGAACCTTTGACTTGGTGACGTTTATTGTCCTAATCCTTCACCTCATTTGAGCTGTCCCACTGCCTCAAAATAGGGTCACGGCAGTCTAACAGGAAGAGGGCAAAAGCTGCCATCTGAATTGAGACTGCCAAACCTGTGGAGTTCCTCAGGTTTCATGGTTAAGTCAGGCAGCTACTGCATCACAAAGTTACTGTCTCCCTCACCTCTGTTATGTGTACAGAGAGCCCACTCAGATATCAGGGAGATATCTGAGCTGGGCATGGAAAGTGCCCAAGGTGAGAAGGTGGGGCATTCCCATATAGGAGCAGAATGCATTTACAGATTACACAAAGTTGAATATTTAAAATCTGAAACAGTACGTGATCCCCCCTGGATTGAGAGGATCATACTGCATTTATAGAATGAATAAAATTCCTTATCAGCCATGGGTGAATACAAGGAGATAAGCAAAGTACATGAGCAATTAGGTAACTTAACACTGTTCAGTTTACATCAGTTGGCAGCTGCTCTGTGGTCTCACCTGCAGGTATTCAGCAAATAATTCCTATGTTCAGTGTATGTATCAAAAAGTTTTTGATGATTATTTTAAGCATTTTCACACCCATCTCAAAGATTTTCACTGTGGCTATGAAGCAAATTTGTTTTCCCACTTATTCTGCCTCTCTGGCAAACATCTTCTGTCCATGCTGTCAATACACTGAACTTTCAATTGTTTCTTGTCTTGTTTCTTGCAAAATTAGCAGGAATTTTACTAGGAAACAAGACCCTTTCGCCAAAGATGTTCCCTCAAAACTTCAACCATTATCAATGCACCAAACGCACATTATACAGAAATATGGTACTATCAGACTTCCCTTTAACTTTTGTTCCTAATCTATAAATTTTATCCACCTAATTAAAAAAAAAAAAAAAAAACAAAAAAAAAAAAAAAAAAAAAAACAAAAAAACAAAATCAAAACCCCCAACCAAAGACAATATATCATAACTATTTTTCAGCCAGAATACTCCTAGCTGGATTGCAAGCAATTTATTCATGGAGAGAATCATATGATTTTAAAATAGTTCAAGTTGAGAATTCCTGTCCACATATTGGAAAAAAACCCAGGAGATCCTGATGCATTTGTCTTTTTTCATTATGAGCAGACAAAAGGCCCCAAGGGGCATGAACTCCTCCTGTGGTTTCCCCCTAGGGCCTTCTGTGGGGTCTGACAACCTGGGTTTGCCAGAGAGGTTGTTTGTGATGTATTCAGAACTGTAGAGCTGGTCCTGGATGTGTCACTTGGCCAAGCCTGTCACTAAATATACAAGATTGGGTCTGGACCCTTGTTGATATTTCACAATACACAAGAATAACCTCAGTGAGTCATGACCACCCTCCTGGACATGCTTGGACAGCACCAATAGCAGTAATTTACACAAGCTGTGCCAAACCCAAGCTCTCAGAATGCTGAATTAGCCTGCCTGTATCTTTCCTGGCTATAACAGAAAACAAGCTGCAATAGAAAACAAGCTATAATATTGTAAACTGCAGAATGAAGTAGAATAAAATATAAAGGTAACATCTAATCTTTCTTGTTGGTTAGAATCTGCAAAAAGGACTAAAGGGTAACTAGAAATTGGTGGTTGGGATTCCAGAGATTCTGCTTGCTGTGTCTTTTCTGCTGGATCAGGCTGCCTCGTTCAACGCTTGGGAAACATTGTCAGTGTCTACAGCCATACAGAACAAATATCCGTACAGCAGTATCTGGATCAAACCCTGAACTGCAGGCTGCTTCCAGCAGAGCTCTCTGTACTTTCTGCCTTCATTTCTGATGCCATGGTCTGATAAACAATTCTGCTATTGGCAGTTTATTTATTAAAAATAAAACAGAAGTACTTTCTTGAATTAAAACAAGAAAGATCACACTAAAGCCTATCACTATATTTTTTTCACATAAGAAAAAATATACATATATTGCAGCACCAAAAACTCAAGAGCTTTTTGCAGCTCATCAAATCATAATCCACCCCCTTTCCTTCACCTTTCTTTCTAATGGTGTCCCAAAATGAGCATTAACATACATAGTGCAGCTGAGCCTCTGTGCTCACTTGACTGTTCAGGCCAAATTCTCTTTTTTAAAATTTACTGAAATATGCAGAGTTACACAAACAGAGGACTTGCCCTCCTGTACCCTCTCTTGCTGAAAAACCAATTTGCTTGTCCTTAAGCCCATGTTTCTAAATTTCCAGGAGCAGAAACACATTGTGGCTTTAAATATAGACTGTCAGTTTGTGGCTTGAGTCTCATGTTACACACAGACAGCCTGAGACTCTAAACGCAAGCTGGGCAGCACCATTACTATCTCAGAAAAGCGTCAGTACGCTTTCAAAATGCTCTATAACTTCATTCCTGAAGGCGGGGGGAGGGAAAAACATTCAAATGAAACTTTTCTAAGCTGGGGTTTAGGCGGAAACGTTACTAACTTTGCTGGGACCTATTCAGGAGGCAGAGTTTGCAGAGCCTGTTTCAGTCCTTCCCTCACACACGCGCACACACAAACACAAAGAATTAAGAAAGAAAACAGCTTCTTCCCAACTTTTTTCCTTCAGGATTAGTCTCAGGCATTCCTTATTTTTTTTCCCCATATGAAATGCATTAGACAATCTGTTCCTTAAGCGAGGAACTGATAAATCCACTCTTATTGTAAGGCGGGGGGGGGGTAAGGGTACTCACGTGGCTGAGATGTCGCATTGTTTTGGGAACTCATAATTTACGCCTTTGAAAAATGCCTTATTTGTGTTGACAGTCTCTCTTCCCTGCTCAGAACTGACGGCGGGATTGAACAGAACAGCTGGAAGAACCCAGGAAAATGCTCCTCTTGTTCGGGCTCTCCTTGCCTGGCTCCTGACCCCTTTACAACTGGAAAAGGAAACAGCACATGTGTCATTCTCTTTTGCCTGTGTAGCTCACATGAGCGGGGAGGGGCACCCATTTGCAGATAGCAGTAACTGTATTCAAGTTTTGCAAGTTGGATGTATTCCACCCCTTTGCTTTTATTAGCCAGCAACCAGTGGAAAGAAAATGCTCTTTTCATTCTTAGCCAAATCTAGACACACCTATTAAATCCACTTCCCAAACCTCTATCCACTGCTGTTGATGTTATTTAAGTGCAAAACTTGCTGCTGACTTCTTTTCCTAAAATGTCTACCATTAGTGGGTAAGATTGAAAGTAGGACTTTCAAATTTCATTGCTCATCATCCCCCTTAACCCTCTCAGTCTGACTGATTCTGTCCTTTTAACAGGTGAAAATTGAGGATGGCATTTACTGGGTCAAAGTAGTTACGTCAGCATATTCCATGAATCTACACTGTGCTCAAAACAAGGAGGAACCTTTGGCTACAGCATAGGCTGAGGCACAAGTAACTCCAGTCATGGCTCTGACACAGGCTTCCTATGGCACCTTTGGCAAAACATTTAATCTCTGCTCCACTTTGCCATTGGTGTAATAAAGATGAGGCACCTGGTTTCTCACTAGTCTTTGTATTTTTAATTTAATGTACAGGCAGGTGTTATTTATAAATAAGATGTATTTATTGGGCTGCAGAGGTTAATTTGCATACTTCACTACAAGTTTTTCAGCCTGGACTAGGGTGCCAGCTGCCTTGTTTATATAGCTGCCTTTTAAAGCTATCTGTTTGGCTGTCTGCATGCTGTGCTGCAGTCAGTGGCATGTAGTCACTGTAAGTGTGCATATACAGCCTGTCTGTAGCTGACATGGACTAGGACTTCTAGGTTACACCAGAACACAAGCAGTTTTTAATGCATATGCTTTAAACACTAAGGAGACAAAGTTTCCATTTTCCTGGTGTCGGTTATGGAGTCAGGATGAATTAACAGCCTGCTTCTGACAGCAGAAACACAGTCACCATCAGGATGGAAGTGGAAAAAAACAGAGTAATGAAATTCAGGCTGGGACCATCCTGTTTTGCAAAATTGTCACAGGATATTTCTGTGAAATCATCTCAGTGACCTCCTACAAGAAACCAGTGCCGTGAACTTGGCTCACAATATTTATTTAACAGCTATAGGATGGAAAGAACAGTGACTTATTTACATGCCAACAGCAACTAACAGCTTGTTTGTGAACATGGATGCAGTAAATTACTTCAGTCAGCATTTCCACATTCTGGGCTCGTGGTAGAGATCTCTGGAACATTTAGTGATAGAGCAAAGCAAGGCACAAAACAAAGACAGGGAAATAATAGGAAAAACTCCTGACGTTGCTGCACTGGCTTCAGCTCCATAGCGTGACATTCATTTACACTTGATAGCTTCTCTATGAAAATTCTGATGGGTAAGTTTTTGATTACTGCTTCTTCTATGTGAGGAACACCATGTGCACAGGTAAAATAGGGGCTTTCTGTTCTAAGGCATGAGAATTGTTTTCATGTGAAGTTTTTGCATTTAAATCTTTCATGATCATGATCAAGGACAAGTTGGGTGGCCTTGGAGCAACCTGGTCTAGTGTAAGATGTCAGGAGGGTTGTAACTAGGTGATCTAACCCAAACCATTGTATAATTCTGTGATTCCGTGATCCCTAAGAAATTTCAGAACTTCTATTGAGGAAAGCTTCCCTAGCTGCTGCAGATGATGTGAAGGATGGTGGTCGTGATGGCTTTATGTCACAGACAGTGGTCTGGACTGTCTTAGGAATTTTGTGGCAGACTACTTAAAATGGCATGCACTGTTACATCCTGGTGCTCAACCCCTCTGCATCTGTGCAACACTTCCTGCATCTGTCTGTGTTCTTGTTAAAGCTGCTCTCCCCCCCACCAAAATCACTGGAAGAGTTATACCCGAGTTATGTAGGAGGATTCTAGCAGATCCAAACTCACATGGGAAAGTCCCCTTTAATGTGTTGTTGCCTTGACTTTTCTTGGGACTTCTGTTTTTGCTTATTGAATAGATTGGGGTTCCCAGAAATCAGAGAGCCATTTCCCAAGGCTGTTTGCTCTCAAACAGGCCATTAAAGAGACCTGCCTGACCTTTTCCACTCATCATTAATGGGAAATATGTGATGTTGTCAAGGGAAGCCCCATGCAGCCCAGCATGCTTCCAGGGTAGCCTGAGACTGGGCACTGAATAAAAAGCATCTCAGTGCTCTCAGCCAACTGATCACGTGGGACAGGAGGCGACAAAGGAACCCAGAGCAAAAGATGGGAGTAGAGTGCTGGTGGGGAAAATGTGTGATTAATCGTTAATTTTCAATTTGACTGAACTCTCTCCTAATCTTTAAATAGCAGTTGCTTCTGGCAAAAAACCCGAAAGCTCCCCAAAAGGGTTAAAAGGAGAAGATAACAGAAGGGTATCTGAAAGTAATTTTTATCTAAGGATTGTGGCATTCATACAGGATTCACCAGGTCTGTGGGATAACATAGGTATGTTAGGAAATCTGTGTCAGCTCTGTGGTTTTCATAAGCCAATTACTTGATCTTGAGGCCACAGTGTTCCCATTAAACTACAGAAGAAGTATTGCTTTCCTGCCCTGGTGAATAATTTTGCATCTCCAGCCTTTGAAAGTCTTTTTCTGAGTAAGGAAATGAAAATTCCCTTTTTTTCTCAGTAGTGATTTCAGATGTGACAGCAATTTCAGGTCCAGGAGTGTTAGCTCAGAAGTGGGACCTCTTTTGCCTCCGATACTGCAATTTATCCTACTCCTCCTAAGCACAGCTATGTAGTGAATGTATGGTCAGGCCCACATAGTTGTTCTCTTTGATGCTATCTTGCTCCAAGGTAAATGATATTTCACAGTCATTCAGGCTTGGCAAGCTGATGCTGCATGCTGCAGCTGTTGTTCCCAACAGGAAGGGAGGGTTTAGGCTGCACTCGGAGGAAAATAAATAAATAAAACAAAGGAAGGAGGCTCTCTCCAGGAAGTTATGCTTTGCAACAACAGGACATCACACTAGAAATCCCTCTCTCTGATGGATTTTCATGGCAAAACATAATGCAAAATCTGTAATCTCATCCTCTAAAGGAAATGGCAAGATTGAAAGAGGCTGAGTGGAAAGCTATCAATAATGTCCTTCACTGTCCACCCTGCGCAGCCTGCAAGATTCAAAGAAGGTGTTTGGATCCACCATCTGGACATTTGAGGAGGGGATGTAGCAGCAGTTGTGCCTGGCTGTGAGTTCAAGGTGGGCCTTGTGACAGCACTGGTGGGCACATTCAGATGAACCAGAGGCTCAGTGTCCCACTGGGCTGCATGCCATGGTCACCTGGCCAGCTGGCAGGAGAGGTGGTCTTGGCTTCCTCCTCTCCTTTGCTGGCTACACACCTCAGGCTGTCTTAAACCTGCCAAGCTGCTGATCTGGGTGAGGTTGGGTGGAATCCCAAATTTTGAAGACATTGTGCAGGTCAAGCACAAGCAGAGATTTGACTGCTAGGCTGAATCATAAAGGAGAGATTCTTCATAGGAAAGCATTTGGCTCTGGACATCCCATGAAATAATATTTTCTACTGATTATCTTCCTTTCCGTCTCTGTAAGGAATAATTGTTTATTTATTTGTTACCTTGTGTGTGGGGTTCTCCCTCCACCTTGTTTCCTTTCTGTTTCCCATTTATTTTTTTTGCTGAAAAGGCAAGGAATATTTGCCATAGACTGTGTGGACCATCTCAGATATGGTGTAAAGTCATCGAGAATGAAACCTTTGTAATGCAAATGGGATCAATAGAGACTTATTACCCAGGATGGACTGTGATGCTGATATAAATTATGTTTTATGTGGTGCCTATGCAGCCTGCGACTTTAAGTGCAACAAGATTGTGAAATACTTGGAACACAAAGGAGGAATTTTCTGTCTGCATTCATAACACTGAACTAGTTCTTGACCCTCATACAAGGCCAGAAGAGAAGAGTTTACCCTGGAAATAAGAGATCAACTCTCCTTCCTACTTTGCATCCCAAGCATTTGTCTTTATTTTTACCACTCCCCTGACTTCTGCTTGAACCTTTGGAATATATTCTTATACCTGGAACACGTATATCCCCTGCTTCACCTTATTGCACAATTATTTGCAGATAAAGGATGTAGTGTGCCTGTTTGTGTTGAAGGTTCCCACTTAATCTGTTAGTTTATTTGGGCCAAACTCTTTTCCATTTGTGTCTGTACTCTGAGGAACCTCCAGTGTCACTACAATGCAAATACTTCTCAAAATGTGCCATCTCTCTGTGAAATATGAGGAAGTTCTACATCTTCCCTGTAGCCTGGTGCTTGGCTTTCCATGAACTGTGGTTCATTTAATGACACCATAGAGGGAAGATGTGTAAGGTCAGGAGTTCAGTGGACAGTGGTGCAGTGTGTCCGTAACTCTATAGTGTCATCATGTCCAAAGGTCACACAGAATGTCTTAGAGGCACTGCCTCATCTCCAATCTAATTTCCAACACCACTGGAAAGTACATCTGCTCAGACTCCAGACCAGTCAACAGGATGTTGACATGCAGTTTGATAGTGCATATTTGGAACAGTGGTAATGTCATCTGGGTAGATGTGGAGAGGGTGAATCATACTATCATCTCTTGCTGAGTTAAGAAATCAGAGCAGGCTTTGGCACATGGATCTCTCATAACAAAAGACCATAATGATAAATAAAGTGAATCATTCTGTAATTTAAAACAAAAGGGAAGACTTGCTCACACAAAGCAGGATTAAACACTGAAAGTCGTAATTCCTGGAGGATCTGGTGTAGGTTTGACTGAAAACCTTTACACAGATGGGACTGTTTTACTGTAGCATAATTTCAATAAATTGGGTTTTTTAGTTGCTGAATATTAGAGAGTGTCTAAAGGAGGGCAGCCAAGATGGTGAAGGGTTTCGAGGGGAAGCTGAGTGAGGAGTGGCTGAGGT